TTGCTACTGATGTTGTCTAGATTGGGTCTTTCTACGACGATGTTGGAAACACATATCCCGAATAGATGCATAATGATACAGAGAGATGATGATTAGATGACAGAGACTTCACGAGCCTCGGCCCACTCTCCGAACAGAAGGCTGATACTCTCGCCGTTGTGCGTCCTGCGTATGCTTTCCGCGATGGTGGGACTAATATCAATCGTGACCAGCTTATTGCAGTTGTTGGCATGCACACTTTGTGGAATTGTGTTGGTGACCTGGTAGTTTTGATACGTGAAACGGGAGAACTTTCTGATCATTAAGAGATGAACATACCACAAGCTCGTCTATTGGCAAGGCCTGGATTACTGACATGTTTGTCTCAGAGAATAGACCTGAGTCGAGTGAGAGGTGCTGAGTGACGTAGAGGGCTAGAGAAAGGTAACGTTACCATGAGAGATCAACACATGCACGGATTTTGCGCCCTTTTCATTCAGTGTTCGAGCCGCGAGCGTCAATGTGTTGCCAGTATCAACCATATCGTCGACGAGGATCGCAACCTAGACAAACGCGGATCAATAACGCACCAAGACAGCCGCAATAAAACCGACCTTGTCCTCAACATCACCAACGAGCAGGTCCATTCTCTCCGACTGAGACTTGCCATCGCGCGCACGGTGAATGAGCGCAAACTCGACATTAAGTTTGTCAGCAATAGCCGTTACCCTATTCAAGGATCAGGAAACCCACAAACTGAAACACGTGAAAAAGGAAATCACCGCTTGGCACCTCCGGCATCCGGGCTGACAATGATACATTCGCTCCAATTGGGAATATTGCGCTTGATATACGAAATCATGAGTGGCTCAGAGAACAAGTTGTCGACTGGGATGTCAAAGAATCCTTGGATCTGACTTGCGTGCAGGTCCATAGTAATGAGGTGATCGCACCCTGCAACAGTGAGCATATTCGCAACAAGCTTCGCAGTAATCGGTGCGCGGGACTTGTCCTTCTTATCCATGCGTGCGTAGGGGAAGCACGGTATGACGGCCGTAATTCTGCGCGCTGATGCAGTCTTGCACGCCGAAATGAGGATAAGCAGCTCCATGAAGTGGTCGTTGACGTCGCTGCATCCGGACTGGATGATGAATACGTCCTCGTCCCGCACTGACTCGGAGATCTTTACGTTAATCTCGCCGTTGGAGAAATTTTTCACGGTGACGGGAACGAGGGGCACGTTGAGCCTGAATGTGTGAAGAGTCACTTGTCCGTGGACTGTTCATTTAGCTGCAGCTCATGGAGAGGCAGCTCACCGCTCGGCCACGGCTTGGGCGAGCTCGGGGTGGCTATTCCCTGTGGAGAGAGATGTTTAGGAGAATTAGGCCGAAGATAGCGACGACACACTAACCCGCAAGAATCCGGATAGAGTTGTTGTGATACATGGTTGAGGGTCGTTCGCTAGTTCTACTGCATGAACAAAGGAAAGAAGAGAATAAAAAAGTGAGTGGGGGATGGTGGTCGAGAAAAATTATCCAGAGATCAAGTTCATTTGTTTGGCCTAAATATTTTCACAGCGTTTGCAAACTTTGATCTGAGATAATTCAGTCTTATTGGCTTATCACACGACACATCCATGGGAAGAATAAATAAACTCGAGACGTAGGGCATCAAGGAGGTACTCTAATTGAGATATTTTCCACCACATACTCTGAGTCGGCATAACCCAAGACTTGTGGCAGATGCGAACTGATGCAAGAATCCTCAGTGACAGACAGATCATGAGAAACTGAGACGGCCAACCTGTTGAGTCCTTTTACCCGGAGAATCTGCGCTGAATTATAATTAGCCAGACCTCGTCCAACCTCGACCACATCATCCATGGTCAGAACTGAATCCTCCTCGATCGACGATATCTTTAGAGCATCAGCAAGCCCGGCAGCGCTCGATGAACGCGACAATGCATGCGGGGTTGTGGGACGGGTGCCCTCCAATCCCTTGGTGTAAGCTGCTTCCATGTCGGCCGCCTCTGAAGGGGTTCCATCGGGGCGACGTTGAATCACGATCCGAACAGCCTGACCAGAAGCAAAAGCACCAATGATTCCGGTGACGCCAGCAGCGAGCAAACGTCCTCCTGATTCACGCCGTGAAAGAACATGGTGGGCGCCGGCGTCAATGATGACACTACCTGAAGGGAAAAGGGTGTGTGTAGTCCAGGATTTGAGATCGCGCATGGGGAAAGGAGAGGCGGTGAAAACGGTGTGTGGTGGGCGTATCAAAGGAGTGGGTGATGAGCTGCGACTGGGGTTTGCACTGTCCGGTCGCGAGCTCGGTTTCGAGTGAGACGACACATCACCATCTTGCGGTGTTTTTGGTGAGCCACGGTCGTAGTAGTGAATGATGTTGGAGATGTTTTCGGGTTTCTTGCTCGATAGGATAACAGTGGAGACTCCTGCTGCAGTTGCGATCTCGGCTGCGATAATTTTCGTCTCCATTCCACCTGTGCCAAGGCTGGATCCGAGTGTCGTGGTACTCACTGAAACGATGCATGAAAGCTCGGCAGGGTTGATCAGAAGGAGACTTACCTTGTGACCGTATGGCTGATATGGAATCCACAACTTCTAGCAATTTTGCGTCTGGGTCTTTGCGAGGGTTCGAGGTATATAGTCCATCAACGTCCGTCAGAAGGAACAGATAATCGGCATGGATCATGGACGACGTTATTGCTGACAGAGTGTCATTGTCACCAAATTTGATTTCCTGGAATGCAAATGAGTAGTTGTTGCTGGATAATGCAAGGATCAACTTACGCTAACTGACACGGTGTCGTTTTCGTTCACAATGGGAACAACACCCATGAAAAGAAGTTCCTTGAACGTGTTGACTGCGTTTAGATATCGTGTTCGCTGCCGTCGCATATGTTAGAGGAATCAAGAAAGCACCACACGGCCTCGACACACATCCGAAATGTCACCACGGGTCAGCAGCACTTGCGCGATTGGCTGCCCCAACTGACCAAAGAGGTTGTCCCATAATGCAATTAATCGACCCTGCCCAATGGCAGCCAAAGCCTGAAATGAATCAGGGATCAGTTGGAGTGATGATCGGTGACACAGGTTCAATGAAACGTACTTGTTTCCCAGAGAGATTCTTGGGTCTCGAAGGCAGCTCCATACGTTTGAGACCGACGGCGATAGCACCGGAGCTGACAAGAACAACTTTGTGTCCTTGAGATCGAAGGTTTACAACGGTTTCTACGACGGATGAGAGCGTTGAAAGTAGAGGTTGATGAGTGGTTTCATGAACGATAGAGGACGAGCCTGGGTGACATTGATAAGTATGGTCAATATAATGAAGGAAATTTGCGGATAGAGCACACCAAGCTTGATCACAATGGTGCATGGAGGTCCATGTCGACGAGAAGACATTGCGTGAAACTAGGATATCGTGCGGCGGCAAGAGCGAGGGATGTCCGATCATTGCCGTCGGAGTCCGGATAATCGTCGGATTTCGGAAAGAATTTCGAGACAGCAAAAATTTCAGTGCCACGTACCCGGATTGAACGAGTGACCTTCGCATTGGTTCCTAGGGTAATTGTACCCAGTTGCTTATGAAAGCATACAAGTGCGACGCGCTACCACTACGCCAACGCGGCCGATGTAAGATTACAAGGGGAAGGAAACAGGAACTGAAACGAAAGGGAGGGTTCAGAGAGCGGCAAGTGAGCAGATAGCACTACCAATGCACACCTGCAACAATGCGCTGTAAAGCAGCTCTGTGTGCAGGGGGCGAGGTCTGGCGCCTAGGTCGACAGCGGCAGCGAGGAGGACGAGCTGTGACGTGACGTGATGTTCGCTTGTGATGATAAGGTTTGACAGCCTGGCGTAGTTGGAACTCCACCGGTCATCCCTGGCAGGACGGTAGATGGCACTTTAGGGGGGTTATTTGTATGTGGAACTCGTTGTCCGACGCTAAGTCGTGCTACGACTACGCCAACGCGGCCGTTGCAAAGGTATAAGAAGGGGGAAACAGTAATTAGAACGAGGGAGAGGGTTTGAAGATCGGAAGATCGTGCGGCGCAAGTCCTAAACTGGAAAAGTGGCGAGATACGCTTTTTTTGACAGAATGTCTCAGATACAGAGATTGGAAATATTCTGCCCGACCTGCCGAAAAGTATGCTGTACCAAGATTACGGTCAATAGGTGATCGACAGAACAGGATGATTGAGACCGAGACAAAATGAAACTGGGAAAGCTTTATGTATCCGACCTGCCTGGATCGAACAGGCGGCATCAAGATAGAAATTATCCATTACAGTCTTGCGCTCTACCAACTGAGCTAAGGTCGGTTGACCTCTTTCTTTGTATTGATGATAGTTCAGCTTGTTCGACATGGTCAAAATAATGGAGGGGTCACATCCCTCAATAAATGTACAATGAAAAGAGGCTATTCGTCCCTGACGTTATCCCACTTGGGTCTCCTCCTAGGGATTTGTTCATGTGGCTCATGCGACGTAAGGTGCGGCTCATTGAGTGATTAAAAAGCTTCAGTTCTACCATGGTTGACTTACCGTCCATTTCGCTGGGTAATCTGCCGTTATCTGCCAAACCCATGTTTTCTGCCGGTCATCCTGCCACACATGTTATCTGTCTGTCATCTGCCTTATACTCTGATACGAAAACACGCGCGCGCACACACATCTTTATTTCTATTCTATTATGCGCTAATCCCAAATAACCTATCTATCTATTGCACCTACTCGCATTAATATATACTATTCAACATTATCTATGAACTCCGAATTTGAGTAGCCGCCAGCATGTCCCTGAGAGCGTGGGCTCAAGATCCTCCGGAAAGGGCATTCTTGCAGCAAAGCATGAATACCAAGGCTCAAACGAAAAACCAAGAAATTCTATCAATTGTTTCTTATTTTTTTGCTGTTCTTTCTTTTCCCCCATTGAATTCCTAGCAAAATGGACGATAAACTACCATGTTTGACATTGACAAAAACATAATACCGATCCGACCTGCCTGGATCGAACAGGCGGCATCAAGATAGAAATTATCCATTACAGTCTTGCGCTCTACCAACTGAGCTAAGGTCGGTTGATGTTCTTTCTTTTCATAAACCACTAGTGGTGCCCAAGAGGTGCAGTCCATGGTGAATTCCAACGATAATGAAACGATATACATGTGATAGGTCCAATTCGGTTACCGAGTACAAGAGAGCTCATGCGGGTTGAGGGGGTGCCCTCGCAGCTTCCTTCTCACGCTCGAGGAGACGCTCAATATTGAACCCGAGCTTCCGGCGCTCCTCGAGCGAGAATTGCGGTTTTGACGAGTATCCCAAGTCTAGGTTGATTGAAACTTTAGGCATCGTTCCTACTTCAATCAATTCCAGACTTACGGAGGCTGGGATATTGGAGAGGAATCTCGTCGCTCCTGAGAGGCAAAGTTGAAAGATCGAGGGGCAAAGATGGGCCAATCCAGGCATTGCGGAATTCGTGATCACTGTTGGCGAATGTCAGAGCCACGACCGAGCCTAATACTAGTCACTGCATACGTTCTCTTCAAACGGTCTGTCAGCATCTTAGGGGAACAAAAATTCAATTTCTTACCTGATCGCGAGTCAAGGGATGTACGAGGATGCTAGGAAATCCGTTTCGAGTCGATGTCTCGTTGATAATAAAGAAAACACACCTGAGATCGCCACGGTGCTGACAGAGGTACGAAAACACCGACGCGAACGTTTCGGATGGAACCCAGATTTCGTATGAGCCTGTAATATCACTTTCAATTATCCACCTTTCATATACTTCCTAGAACACACACCTATCGGATGCGGCCCCATGGGCTCAGTATTGACACGAAAGAGTGGCACGGCAACAAAGGCGCCATCACGGCGTAATCGCAGAACGGCATTCCTTAGCTCGAGTGCAGCAAGATGAGAGACAGTATTTTTCTGGTGAAAGTATATATCTAAAGACAACAACAGCCTGAGTCAGCAGGGTATGGGACGGATGGCTGACAATCGCACGAAAGTGCCATTCTCTACAAATCGGAGGGAGTCACAACCTAAGAAATAGCTTCATCGTTGCTGACTTACTTGATTTCATCCCTTAGGACCTCTTCTATGTCAGTTGGAGGAGTCATGGTGTAACGATGATGTAGGGATTGTGTGTAACTAGAAGCTTGAGAACTTGGGCTGCGGACTCAGGGATACTCTGACCCTAACCCTAATTACGGGTTTAAATATCCAGTTCCACGTTGGTTTTGCCACTGTCCCATTCTTAACTTCTCATGTCTGAACTTCGACCGTTAAAAGTTGCGTTTATTCATCCAGACCTTGGAATTGGTGCTTAGCCCATAATATTCTGTCAGACACTGTGTGCTCAAACATAGCGATGCCAAATAGGTGGTGCGGAACGTCTAGTCGTCGATGCCGCCCTTGGTCTCCAGGAACGCGGTCATTCAGTAGATATCTATACGTCTCATCATGACCCTAATCACTGTTTCGAAGAAACAAAAGATGGTAAGTACAACTTCTGCGTGGACTTTGACGAAGAACTTAGTATTTTTTCGACAGGAACGCTTCGAGTTCATCACGTCATCTCACCGTTTCCTCGTTCGTTGAGGAGCAAATTTCATATTCTCTTTGCCCATGCGCGACAACTACACCTTATGACACGCCTTCTGTCTCCGTTTGCCCCAGAGTATGACGTGTACTTTGTTGACCAGCTATCAACATGTATACCCCTCCTTCAACATGTTGGGAATACGCGGGTCGTGTTTTATTGTCACTTCCCTGACAAATTGCTGGCAAATGGCGCTTTTGTAGAAGGAGAGAACAGAGAACAAATCAGCTTGTTGAAACGGATTTATCGATTTCCCATGGACTGGCTAGAAGAAACGACGACACGTATGCATGACCCACCTGCGAGTTCTCCATCCATCTCACTTTTTACAGGACAGGCAGATATTATAATTGCAAATTCCAAGTTTACCGCTCGTGTGACAAAGTCGTATTTCAAGTCAATCACACAATCTCTTCGAGTTGTGTACCCAGGGATTAATGTTTTGGCATACGAATCCACCGTAGATCACAATGACCCTGATAACGTTGCAATTTTCTCGTGAGTCGTTTCGTGAAAGGGTTGACGATGATTTTCATTTGGTCCAGTGTCAAGCCAACGCTTGTCTCCCTCAATCGTTTTGAAAGGAAGAAGAATGCCGCTCTTGCTGTCAGGGCCTTTGCAAGTTTGAAGTCTAAGCTTGCACTTAAAGCATTTCGACTTGTCCTTGCAGGTGAAATGATATCGATTCAATCATGACCCTCCAGGCCGCTGATAGACTCGCTAGGCGGCTATGATCCTCGTCTTGACGACAACTTACTAACGCTCGATTCACTACTTCACCTTACCAAGTCTCTTTCCCTAACATATAACGTTATCACACCGCCTTCGAACCAAAAACCCATCAAGATACCCCCAGGAAACATGACGCCCAACGATCCCGACGTACTATTCCTCTTGAACTTCACAACCTCCCAACGCACCGCCCTGCTCTCCAGCCCGTCGACAGTGGCACTTCTTTATACACCTGCTAACGAACATTTCGGTATTGGCCCCGTTGAAGCCATGGTATGTGGTGTCCCAGTGTTGGCATGCAACAGCGGCGGACCCACAGAGAGTGTCCTCGATGGACCGCCAGAAGAAAGAACAGGATGGTTGAGGCCACCTGACGCGGAAGTTTGGGCTGAGGCTCTCGTTGAAATCGTGTCAATGAGTCTTTCTGAAAGGCAAGCATTGTCAGATCGGGCAAAGGCGCGCGCACGAGACTTGTTTAGTATGGATGCTATGGCGAGTGGGATTGAGGATGCACTGGTTGAAGCAGTTAGAATGGGTGATGTGCCGCATATGATGTGGAACATGTGGATGATGATTTTTGGTTTCGTCATAGCGTATATCCTCGGACCGCTTGTCCTTCCATCTCAAAAGAGGTGATTTTGTACTTTCGGGAAGATGGATATATCTGAGGACGCTTGTCTTTGGTTAGAGCTACATTGCCCATTCAGCAGACAATTTCTATGTTTGTCTTGCAAATGTGGCCTTCTACGAATCAGATCCTTTGCATACTTCTTGTAAGGCACTGGATTTGAAAATCATAAGTAACTTAGGTGGGAATATGAAATGTGAAAAGAGCGGTGATTACTGTGGCTGCCTATTACGCGTCAGAACCACGGATGAAAAGACACCCTTGGAATGAAACACGTGATCACAAAATTTCGACCCATCCCTTGTTTTGGTCAAGCCACTCTGTAACAATGGCCCGACATGCACGCAAAAAGCAGAAGGTATCTCAGGAGACTTCTAAATCTCAGCCACTTGGAACGACGGATCCCTTGACAGACGACGCTTTGAAGGACGATGAGGAGAGACGGCTCGAGAGTGTGCTCTTTGGGACAAAGTTCGTTCCTAGGGATAAGGACACTGTTGAAGATGATAAAAACCCGCCTCAATATGCTGGAAATGTTCTCAATAATCTTTTGGATTCAGATGTACGTCGAGGTGCTGTTTATGAGTTGGGATAGCTAAATCGAAGTTTTTCTTCTGTATGTAGCTTTTTTTCGTCGATGATGGTGCTGTTGCTCCAGATTTTGAGCAAAATGAAGACCAAGCTGATGTTGAAGCTCGAGATTCTGACGCGGAGTCCTCGTCTTCTTCGACATCACGAATACAACCACCTTCGAATCCCTTGTTGAACTCACGAAAGCCTCCAGCCTGGATAGACCCTTCAGATCCACCCTCTGTCTCTCTTGCTACTTCGCGGCTACGCAAGCTACGCGACGCTCCGACAGAAGAGACGCTTTCTGGTCGTGAATACGAGGCGCGTCTGCGGCGGCAATACGAGCGGATAAACCCCGAGCCTGCGTGGGCTGCGAAAGCACGAATCGAGAAAAGAGAGGAGATAGGGGATGGTGCGGGCGTTGCGGACCTTTTGACTTCTACGAGCGGGATCCTAGGGCGGCGGAGTAAGGTGCATTTGAAGGCGGGCCTGGTGGAGCTCGAGCGATTGCGCGATGCCAACTTGGATGCGCAGGCGTCGGGGAGTGGTCCAGTGCGCGTCGTCGCGTTCCATCCAAGCGAGCGTGTACCTGTGTTGTGTGTCGGAAGTACTGACCGTCGTGTTCGACTGTTCAATGTACGTATTGTTGACTTGGTTACGGGACATCTATTCAAAGACCTTTTTTTGCAGATTGACGGGCACACAAATCCTCTGCTACAGACACTACATTTCCCATCTCTGCCACTCACCTCTCAGTCAAGTGTTGCCTTTCACCCACTCGGCTCTTCGCTCCTCCTCACTGGTCCTCGTCCTTTCTTCTATACCCACGACCTACAAACTGGCACTACAACTCGTCATGCTCGTGGGCTATGGGGCACTACTTTCAATACCATAAATGATGTTCCAGCCTCCCGAAAACGTGGACGTAAGGGGGACGACAGGGGCTCAGGGAATGGGAGTGGGGAGGGCATGGAAGTTACTGCATTTAGCCCAGGGATGGGCGAGATACTTGCGGTGGCTGGGCGTGGAGGATACGTACATCTCGTCGATTGGAAGAGCGGTGCTGGGCAGGTTGTGGGTAGCCTGAAGTGTGGTGGTGGAGGGGGCGGTGTGCGATCGCTATGGTGGTCTTCTGCACAACAGCTGGCGGTTCTCAGTGGAGATGCAGAGGTATATCTATGGGACGTGGGTGAACGAAGATGTGTGAGGAGGTGGAAGGATGAGGGTGGTTTCAGAGGTGCTGGGCGGGTTATGGTAGGTTCTTCTGGAGCTGCAGACGGGAGTGGGTTCTTGGCTGTGGGGTACGTGATTTTCATGCCCATGGATTACGTCGTTTCATACTCATTATGGTTATACAGGTCTAACACGGGTTTCGTCAATGTATATGGTGCAGACTCGTTTGCATCCTCTCCGTCGGCAAACTTGCCCACTCCCAAGCCACTGAAAAGTATTGCGAACCTCACAACAACAATTTCATCAATTCAATTCAATCACGATGCACAGTTAATGGCGGTGGCGAGCCAGGAAAAGAAAGATGCTAT